CCCCCCGCAGCAGAAGCGAGCACAGCGTCACCAGCGATGTGTAGCAGGAAACTCGGATGTACGTACCTCGTACCTGGTGGCCTCTGCGAAATGTTTTAACGGGGAGGGAAGGGTCGAGTCGAGGGGCGCTTATGCACAGCGGCAAGGACGACGCGAGAAAAATTGCAGTTTCGTTGTCGTTGTTGTTGTTGTTGTCGTCGTCGTCGTCCTCGCTCGTCGGCGGCGGAGACGCGCACCTGCGAATTAATTCTGGAGAAACGCCCTCCTCTCTCGGGCCGGCCGCTCCCACTCTGCCAGAGTGCTCTGCGGTGTGAGTCGCCGCCCCGCCCCGCCCCACCCGACTACCCCTTCTCTGGTGCACGCGGCCAGAGAGATAACTGGTCGCCGGTGCTGTGCCGGAGACGCGCGTCCCTCTCTCGCTCCTTGTCGCTCTCTGCCTCGCTCTCTCCGGCCGTTCCAGCCGTTGAGTCACGCCTCGTTCGCTCGCTCTCTCGCTCACGCCCGCACGCCGCCCCCGTGCCGATCGCTTATCTCGCTCACTCCGGTTTGCGTCCTCTGGACGCGCGTGCGTGTGTATAGAAGCCGCGTCTCTCTAATTTGTTTCGGTAGAAGGGGTGGGGGTTTTGGTGCCGGTGCAGGCTATAAGGCACGGGGGAGGTTCACCGCCGCCGTCGGGGGGCGGTTCCACGCCGGGGGCAGGGGGGGGCAGAGGCGTTTTGCAGACCCCCGTGTCACGCGTTTGTCGGTGACGCGTGGTGGCTGAATGAGCCGGTTTTTGGACGCGGCGTGCGCGATGGGATGGCGTGTGATTGCTGATCTGATCTCAGGCTGCCCCCCCCCCTCCCTTTTCTCTCTCTCTTTCTCTCCCTCCCTCTCTCTTCCTCTCTCGCTCTCTTTCTCTCGCTCTTTCTCTCCTGCCTCCAGCAATGCCGCTGCGGCTCCGCTCCTCCATTCAGTCCACGGGAGGTTGACTGCTGAGAGAGATGGCAGGATGACACGCAGAGCAGCCTCCTCTCTCTCTCTCTCTCTCTCTCTCTCTCTCTCTCTCTCTCTCTCTCTCTCTCTCTCTCTCTCTCTCTCTCTCTCTCTCTCT